GTGGGTGTCAGCATCAGGGACAGGCACTACACACGCGTGGGAGGGGCTGACATTTGATCTAATCCAGAGGCCTTTTCATGTTTCCGAAACGCTTGGAAAAGTACATTCAAGGGCACGGGGATATGTTTTAGACCCAACGGGAGATAATCCCCACGAGCATTTCTCAGGCTTGTTGAAATACATTTCTTGTTTTCTTGACCCCCGTGCCATTACAAAGGCTCGGGCAAATAACGTCGTATTTACTCTTTAGGTACTGTTAAGAACTAAAAAAAATGTTGGAATAGATTCTGACTTGTCGGACACGCAAACATAGGGGTTGCGGGCAAATGTACATACGTGGTAGAGGAAGGATGTGTTTTTTTTTAAAATAAACCTGCTACAAACTTGAAAACCAAAGCATAAAAATCCCTTTCTTCGCTATCAATTTTATAGAAGGCGTCATGAGAGCAAACACCAACTGCCGTAAGTAAGTGAGTGAGTGAGTGTGTGAGTTTAGTTTCACGCCGGTCTTAGCAATATTCCAGCATCGGCGGGGGACAGCACAAATTGGCGTCGAACCAAGTGGGAACACGAACCCGGGTTTTCGGCGTAAGGAGCGAACGCTTTCAATGCTCGGATACCACACCGCCCTATTTAGGCCGAGTTGTGCGTATATCAGTGAGGGTGAGTTGTGCGTATATCAGTGAGGGTGAGTTGTGCGTATATCAGTGAGGGTGAGTTGTTTTCAACATGTAATAAATGAAAACGAATAAAGAGCCGTGGACATGTACTGCCTGAATTGATGTGTTTGGTCCATTGATGTGTTTGGACCATTGATGTGTTTGGACCATTGATGTGTTTGGTCCATTGATGTGTTTGGACCATTAATGTGTTTGGACCATTGATGTGTTTGGACCATTGATGTGTTTGGTCCATTGATGTGTTTGGACCATTGATGTGTTTGGTCCATTGATGTGTTTGGACCATTGATGTGTTTGGACCATTGATGTGTTTGGACCATTGATGTGTTTGGACCATTGATGTGTTTGGTCCATTGATGTGTTTAGACCATTGATGTATTTGGTCCATTGATGTGTTTGGACCATTGATGTGTTTGGACCATTGATGTGTTTGGACCATTGATGTGTTTGGACCATTGATGTGTTTGGTCCATTGATGTGTTTGGACCGTTGATGTGTTTGGTTAATTGAGGTGTTTGGACCATTGATGTGTTTGGTCCATTGATGTGTTTGGTCCATTGATGTGTTTGGTCCATTGATGTGTTTGGACCGTTGATGTGTTTGGACCATTGATGTGTTTGGACACGATGCATTTGGCATTGATGTAGTGTCCACTTTTGAAATTTCATTTTTGAAGTTGCAAAATTTCTTTTGGCGTCAGTTTATTTTCGGTCTTTCTTGTATACGATTCCACAGCCTGGTCCACCCGTGAAGATCCGGGTTAGAATGTACCTTCAGTAACACATGCTTGTCGTAAGTGGCGACTAACGGGATCGGGTGGTCAGGCTCGCTGGCTTGGTTGACACATGTCAATTGTCAATTGCGCAGATCGATGCTCATGCTTTTGCTCACGGGATTGTCTGGTCCAGACTCGATTATTTACAGACCGCCGCCATATAGCTGGAATATTGCTGAGTGCGGCGTAAAACCAAACTCACTCACTCACAGCCTGGTGCTTACGACCCACTCCACCACGAAATACTGGCACGTAAGGAACGTAACTCTATCTCGGCCACATATTTAAAAAGTAGAGAAGCGTCCGTAAAATGTTTGAATTGTAATTGCCTATTTCATTATAGATGTCCCAGATACAGCTGGGTGTAAAAGAGTATGCATGTGAGGGGGTGAACAGTTGGAAAACGGTATTTATTGTCCTGAAGCAAATATTCCCATTTTCCATGGATACTAGCATTATGGCCGTACTGTACAGGGATATTGGATTATGATGTCACACGCTGATCAAACTATGGTGGGCGATTGCACATCAGAACTATATCATCTGATAAGTGTTACGGCAGTCATTGTGGTCGTATAATCTTGTCATTACGCGCCGTGTCCAACAAGGACATTGGGGCGGTGGAGTGATCGGTTTAGAAATAATTGGTGTCCTTGTGAATATCCTTTATTCCAACGCCACTTGCCAGTATTCATTACCAAGCTATGATAACCAGGTGAGTGAGTGAGTTTAGTCTTACGCCGCACTCAGCAATATTCCAGCTATATGGCGGTGGTCTGTAATAATCGAGTCTGGACCAGACAATCCAGTGATCAACAGCATGAGCATCGATCCTCGCAATTGGGAACCGATGACATGTGTTTACCAAGCCAGCGAGCGTGACCACCCGATCCCTTAAGTCGCCTCTTACGACAAGCACGGGCTACTGAAGGTTAATTCTAACCGGATCTTCACGGGTATGATAACCTGGACTGTTAATTTTGTTATGACACCAGTTGTCCAGGAAACTTACAAACACTTTAAGAACACCAGTTGTCATATATTATAAAATACGGAAACTCAACTTTACGTGGTTGGTATCGCATCCTGTGCACAGCGCATGTGTCATAACTCTGGGCTTAAATATTCGAAACTCAAAGATAGGATATCTTAAGTTTTAAATAATATGCACAGACGGTACAAAACACTTTTTGCTCGAAGGGTTAGGGTTTCAAAGTAAAGCCCAGTATTCTGTGATCTTGGATGAATATGAAATGTACTTACGGGGCTACGATAGTTTCGAAAATAGTCTCCGTCAGTCTGTGATGTGCTAACGTTAACTATACGAATATAAGATATACTTACGACACTCGACGATTTCGTGAGGATTATTCGAAAATAGGCTCCCATATTCCTTACAATAAATATACGATAATTATAGGGCTCAGATCGTTTCGAAAAATGCTTCAATGGTGAGCTGGTGGCATTCAGGCTGTGTGGTAACCTTGTGTTTAAAGTGTTGGCCACACCGAAAGCCCGGGTTCGATTCCTCAAATAGATACAATATGTGAAGTCCCCCCGACTCGAGATATTGCTGGAATATTGATAAAAGCGGCGTAAACCATACTCACTCACTCATTCACTCACTCTTGAAACTGGCATTACACCCACTACACATCACTCACTCACTCACTTCCAATGGTTCAACAACGCCGGTCTTGAAGAGTCGTCGGATAAGTTGGTTTGGCCCTGACAAAACTCCCTTTATATCCGCTGCTTTGATGTCAACTTCTTTCGTAAGATGCCTCTGTTCACCCAGCAGAGGATGGGTACCCTGCAGGATGAGATGGTAAAGTAAGTAGTATCAGACAAGAGCACGTGTCGTCAGCAGCGACTAACGAGATCGTGTGTTCTCGGTTGACTCGTGTTATCGACGCGCACGCTGTTGATCACTGGATTGTCTGGTCCAGACTCGATTAGTAACAGACCGGCGCCATATGGCTGGAATATTGCTGAGTGCGGCGTTAAACAACAACCAGCGCACCAACCAAAAAGCATGGGAACTGAGAAGGAATAGCGAATATATACTGGTCCATTGACCATAAATGATCATAATGTTTGCATAAGCGCTTAGACCATGCATATGCATGGGGTGCGGCGCTATATATATATGTATGATGATTATGATGGTGATGATTATTGCTATGATTTTGTTTTGAGTTCGTTGAGTCTCTGTATGTCGAACTGACACACAGGCGCCTAAGTCGCCGACGTTGCCATTTTGACAAATGAGACTAAAATAGCTTTCTGTCACCTTTCTAAAAGTTTAAAATAGGTGATGACAGTAACGTGCTTTTAGATTTACGAGGGTTTATTCGACGCCCGGGTATTCCTTTATTCCATGTTTAGTGTGCTTTGTTTGTTGTTTAATGCATCACTCAATATGTCAGCTATATGTATCGGTCTGTAGACAATCGAGTCTGGACCAGACAATCCAGTGATCAACAGCACGAACATCGATATACGCAACTGGGATTAGATGACATGTGTCAACCAGGTCAGCGAGCCTGACCACACGATCCCGTTTGTGTTTGCATCATGAAAATGAGATATATTGATCAAATGTGGGACATCTTTATTGTATACGTTTACACTTTTTATCAAGTTATCATTTTCAGAAACACTCCAACATTCCCGCTTGACAACGGTACAAGAATCTGTATCGAAACGTCGCACTCACGAAATAACGAAGGTGTTATCCATAAAGATTGCTCTATATTGTACGTCTTAACTTCTAAAATGCCACTCGGACATGCTAACCCTCCAACAGATGTGTTTGTTTGTTTGTTTGTTTGTTATTCAACGACGAATTCAGGAATATTCCAGCTATATGGTGGCGGTTTTAACGGTTCTATCGCAGGAAATGCACACACAGTATGCCATATGGATGTAGTCTGCTTGTCATTTTCAAGCAGACTAGTCGGATTGCAATAATATATATTTTCAAATTTTGCTATTTATTTTCAACCTTATTGATTTTTTTATTTATGTTGACGTATTTTTTTTATTAAATTCTCTACGTCTTTAAATATTACTACGCTGATATTTGTTCCGGTGATGCGCATGTTGAAATAATATAAATTTCTTAATTGATTAAATAAATGATATTTTACTAAAAGTTATTGGCTTTGTCAAAATAACTTTAGATTAAACAAAAAGATCTAATTACACTGTTGCTGGTTCCATTGATGTCGCTCTCTATGACTGATACACACACTCGTACATCGTCTTTAACGAATGTCCAACCATTTGTACTCGGTCCTTAGTCACAACAAATCTGAGCAAGTATCGTGATTTGTAATGACAACCCGTTAACTATATATATCAGACTAGCGAGTGTCATCGGTTGTCCAGGAAGACGCTAACACACAAAAACAGTCTCATTCCAAACATTACTGACAATGGACACCTGACAACTACACCTGTTTTGATTGACAATGCCTGCAGGCATACTCAACAACTTACATCAGTGTTGAATTCCATCTTTAGCAGTTGTGTAAAGCCCATACAGGCGTTCATGTACCGTCCATGGCTGCCTGTAGGATCGCTCTGCTGATTGGATTTGCATGGGCCATCGGTAAGTGTTTTGAAAAACGTATAATGTGCATTCCTCTTCCGATAAGACTTTGGCCCCAAACAACTCAACAAAGCTGGCTGACAAAAATCACCACGATATTCAAATGCCAGAGATGTACGACTTGCTATTCATAATTACGCTAGCTTTGATCTTCAGTTGCTGTTTTAGAAAAATGTATAATGTATCATGCACATTCATAATTTGAGAAAAACAACCTAATTGACAAAACTCTTGTGATTATTTTAATATCATTGATCTGTGATATACGATTCACAGTTCAAGGTAGTTTTGTATGAAAAATAATTGTTCAGTTTCGTTAATCTCTCTCCTATATATAATTGTGACACAAAAACAAACCCCAAACATCAGGACCTTTAACTATCGATGTATGATATACACGTTATTATATGTAAGTTATACACTGCTGTTAGAAACAATACCTATTTATATGTAAATGGCCACAACATCCAAACTGCGTTATAGGAAATACCTCCAGCTACCAACAAAATCAATAAGAGCATAACAGAGTCCCTGTATCAATACACTTTTAAGACTAAACGATTTGAAAAATTATTCTAGACCAATATATGTACACAAATAATGAAGTTCAAGGTTCTCAAACACATACAAAGCACATAAAGTTTTGCTTTTTCTACCTAACCAGATTCTCTGGGAATAAAAATATGTTTAAACCATGTACGATATACGTTAGCCTTCATAGCTGCGCTTGTTTGGATCATGCTAGGTAAGATATTTCAATGGAAGCACGATGTACATACATACATATCTCTTTGGATATTTAATTTCATGAGAAGATATTGATTCAATATTGATTGTCCCAAACAATTTAAAAATTCAAAATTCCTTTGGCCACATGAACGTAAGAACCTTATTTAAGCTTTCCTGCTATGTGTACTTAATCTTAATAGTACGTTTTAATGTAAATATTTTGATAGTTTGCTTGAAGACAAATGTAAATAGGGGGATTGGATTAGTCTAGTGGTTCGAGTCACCAACAGGTTCAAATGTGTGAAGTTCATGACTAATGAAAATATTGACTCTTTGTATGGTAAGTTGAGAAGGTTGAATAGTAAAGGATTGTGAAGTTCGTGGTGTAAAAACAAGAAGTTATCATTATACATCACGTTCAGGGTGTATACGCAAGAACGGGGCATTATATAGCAAGTTCTTGGTGAATAAAAACAAAATTATATATCTCAGTTATGGTGAATGCATTAAAGAGCAAACGTTTATTTGTAAACACCGGTTGATAGACACAACAAAGTAGCATTATTTGTAAATGATGTATAATTAAGAAGTTAGCTTCCTGTGTAAAGGTCCTGTTTTGTAAACAAGAAGGTAGCATTGTACAACACACACAAAGACTATTATCCAAACGGTAGTATTATATATATCCCGTTTGTGCTGTATAAATAACAAAATTGTATTTTACAACACGTTCGTGGTGGTGGTGGTGGTGGTGGTGGAATTGGGTTTAACGTCGTGCTTGAGAATATTTCGCTCATATGACGACGTGCATGCGTGTGTATGTGTATGTGCGGCTGCTTGTACTAGCCCAGACTTAAGCTGGTTTTATAGTGCTAGCCCACTGTGATACCATGCCGCAGTGAAGCATGAATACCCCACTCAGACACATTATACTGACTCCGAGCCGACCAGTCCTTGTTGTACCCATTAATGCCGAGCGCCAGGTAGGGACCAACAAGTACCATATTTTAACGTCTTTTGGTATGACGCAGTCGGGGATCGAACCCGCGATCTTCCGCTCTCCGGGCGGACGCTCTAACCACTACATCACGGAGGCGGTCCGTTCGTGGTCTGATAACCCAAAGGCAGCATTACACATGAAGATAATATTGCATAAACAAGAATGTAGCATCACATGGATAGTTAGTGCTTTGCAAGCAAGAAGGTACCTTTAAACATCAAGTTTGTGATACATAAATGGGAAAGACCCATTTAGCGTGAAACTTGTGGTGTATAAACACAAAGTGGTCCTTATTCATCACGATCGTGATCTGTAAACAAGAAAGGGATAATTTACATCGCATATCGATCATGTATAAACATAAAGGTAGCATTTGCTTATGGAGTTATGTGTAAACAAGGTAGCATTATGTGTAAACAAAGAAGCTCGCTACTGACTATATGACATGTAAACAAAATGGCGTCTGCCTCTCGACTGGGTTTTTAAAATCAGTGAAACATATCCTGACAATCTTAAAACTGCTACAAAATCGCTAATTATTTTTAAGTGTGCAAATGATGCAATGTATAAGATAGTTTAAATAAAGCTGTGAAAGTCGATAAAATAAATGTGTACATAGTGAACTCAAAACCAGCTACTCGAACGGTTTTCGTACTCCGTGTACTGCATGCGTCATATTATGACGTCATATGATTGTTAGAGAAACAGCTTATCGGCGGAGGGTTTGACGGTTACCGTGGCAACGGGTAATACTTTTTTTCTAGTTGCCACCCTCCAGGGAGGGGTACCACGGAAACTTGTTAAAGCGTCATTGACCAGTCAAATGAAAGTATTTTACACGAAGGTAAGATAAATGACGGTGGTGGTGTATACACAGCCCTGGTAGGCTGAATTACATATAAAGTTCGTACTGTATATACAAAGCAAAATAGCATTTATTTATTTAATCAATTAAGAAATTTCAATTATTTCAACATTCGCATCACCGGAACAAATATCAGCGTAATTAGATTTAAAGACGTAGAGAATTTAATACGTGAACATAAATATAAAAATCAATAAAGTTAAAAATACATAAGAAATAAGAAAATATATATTATTGCAATCCGACTTGTCTGCCTGAAAATGACAAGCAGACTACATCCATATTGCGTACTGTGTGTGCATTTCCTGCGATAGAACCGTTAAAACCGCCACCATATACTAGTAACTGGAATATTCCTGAATTCGTCGTTGAATAACAAACAAACAAACAAACACATCTGTTGGAAGGTTAGCATCTCTGAGTGGCATTTTAGAAGTTAAGACGTACAATATAGAGCAATCTTTATGGATAACACCTTCGTTATTTCGTGAGTGCGACGTTTCGATACAGATTCTTGTACCGTTGTCAAGCGGGAATGTTGGAGTGTTTCTGAAAATGATAACTTGATAAAAAAAGTGTAAACGTATACAATAAAGATGTCCCACATTTGATCAATATATCTCATTTTCATGATGCAAACACAAACGGGATCGTGTGGTCAGGCTCGCTGACCTGGTTGACACATGTCATCGTATCCCTATTGCGTAGATCGATGCTCATGCTGTTGATCACTGGATTGTCTGGTCCAGACTCGATTATTTACAGACTGCTGCCATATATCTGGACTATTGCTGAGTGAGGCGTAAAAATAAACTCACTCACTCGCATATCACGGTCATGGTGTATAAACAAGAAGCTAGCATTATAGTTCTTGGTGCACAACCACAAAGTAGCATTATATATCAAGTTTGTATTGCATATATGAGACGGTCGCATTACAAAACACTATATATACTCATGCCAATAATGGTTGTCAACCCTCTCCCACCCCAACCCCCACACGCCTCACACCCCCACCCCAAACCCTCTCTCCAATTAAAAATATTGAAGGGGGTGACAACCATTATTGGCATGAGTATATATCAAGTCCGTTGTTCATAAACAAGAAGATAACATCATATATCATTCCAGGTGTATAAACAAGAAGGTAGCATTGTATATCAAATTTGTATTGTATATACACGAACTTAGCATTGCATGGGGGCGGTGGGGTAGCCCAGTGGTTTAATCGTTCGCGCGTCACGTCGATTCCCCACATGGGTACAATGTGTGAAGCCCTTTCTGGTGTCCTCCGCCGTGATATTGCTGGAATATTGCTAAAAGCGACGTAAAACTAATCTCATTCACTCACTCACTAGCATTGCATATGAAGATTGTAACCAACTCAGATTCGCCTGCTTGTATGCCATGAGAAGCAGACACTGGTGGATATGTTTATACGTATTTATATTTCTCACTATCGGAAGGCATATTGAAACAATGATATTACGAATATAGGTGACACAATTTTGTATGCTTGGCAATATATTTGGGGAGAAAATCTAATCAGGAAATGTATTGTTGTGGAAATGTATTTTCCCCTATTATATAAACATGGAAAAAGTATCTTAACACCTGTGATTTTGAAAACTCGTAAAACCATTTTGTATTCATGTAATAGTCATATTTGTTGTGGGGCGGTGGGGTAGCCTAGTGGTTAAAGCGTTGGCTCGTCACGCCGAAGGCCCGGGTTCGAATCCCCACATGGGTACAATGTGTGAAACCCATTTCTGGTGTCCCCCCGCCGTGATGTTGCTGGAATATTGCTAAAAGCGGCGTAAAGCCAAACTCAGTCAGTCAGTCATATTTGTTGCATGATTAGTTTGCCCTTCGGGCTTAACACACGGTGATCTTAGATCAAAGGCGAGCATCACGTCCAAAAAGTGTATCCATCATTAGAAAAACTGCTTTCCTTGCTTGACAAGGGTATAACTGTCTATACCGAAACGTCGCATTATAGTATAATAAAGAGGTTGTCACCCATACAGTATCATACCTTCCTCATTATAACTGTTGTTTCATCACGACAACTCAATTGATTTCGTTGTTGATAGGGGCGGCGGGGTAGCCTATTGGTTAAAGCGTTGGCTCGTCACGCCGAAGGCCCGGGTTCGATTCCCCACATGGGCACAATGTGTGAAGCCCATTTCTGGTGTTCCCCCCGCCGTGATGTCGCTGGAATATTGCTAAAAGCGGTGTAAAACCACACTCAGTCAGTCAGTCAGTCATGACTGAAGGCCTCGCAGAAATACAGCATATGTCATCCCAGACATTCCAGTTGTACTACCACAATCGATGGCCATCCTCTGAACACAAAGTCTTCATGGACGACAATGCTTGGCAACATCATGACGTCAAAAGGCGGTTGCAACTTTACCTCAGTCCCGTATCTCCATGACATATTTGACATTATGGGTCGCAGAATACGCCGGACAAATCCACCAGTACAAAATCTTGATGTATTGGGACAAGGCTTCCATTCAGGAAGGAACGCAATATCTCAACGTCAACTTCAACGTCGGATACAGCATGACGAGGAGTTCACGGATGATAATGCAGTTGGAATAGGTTAAAACAGACATTGTCATTGTGCTCGGCGTTTGACACTTGTGTACCCGTGAAGATCCGGGTTAGAATGAGCCTCCAGTAACCCATGCTTGTCGTAAAATGCGACTAACGGGATCGGGTGGTCAGGCTCGCTGACTTGGTTGACACATGTCATCGTATCCCACTTGCGTAGATCGATGCTCATGCTGTTGATCACTGAACTGTCTGGTTCAGACTCGATTATTTTCAGACCACCGACATATAACTTGAATATTGCTGAGTGCGACGTGAAACTAAACTCACTCATTCATTGACACTTATGTGATTTCGTGAGGAGTGTGTGCCAGAAAGTTGAAACCGTACTTGTTATTGTCATACGACCATAGTTATCAGCACTTCAATTGCTTATATGAATTAATTACAGATTTCCGTTCTTTTTGGATTTCGATTTGCCAATTCATTATTCTTTGATGTTCTATTTATCCAGACAGTAGGTTAAACTTAAGTCTGGATACGTGTCTTTGTTATCGTTAGTGGTAACATACCGGTACTATGATACATTTGTTGCGATACTTTTGTCCATATGTATATATCCGACACTAACGTCGTATCTCCTGCATGAACCACGTTTTCAATGCAGACAACGTGTAATTACTCGTACCCGTCCCAGCCCTTGTTCAATGTCAATCAGTGTTGAGTACATGTTTCAGCTACCTGTGAAGGTCCGGGTTAGAATTGATCTTCAGCAACACATGCTTGTCGTAAGAGGCGACTAACGGGATCGCTGACTTGGTTGACATATGTCATCGGTTCCCATTTGCACAGATCGATGCTCATGTTGTTGATCACTGGGTTGTTTAGTCCAGACTCGATTATTTATAGACCGCCGCCATATAGCTGGAATATTGCTGAGAACGGCGTGAAACTAAATTCACTCACTCACTCACATGCTTCAGCAGTTTGACGGAATGCTGCCAACTGCAATAATGACAAGTAATGTCGAACTGCACGAACTCTACTTGTAATTAGTTGATAGACACATTTTATCAATGCTGCTACATGCGGCGACATCGTAATCTCTTAAGCCGTCGCTCCTTCACGTGCAGACAGATTACCTATCGTCACCAGTGGCAGTAAATTGTCGACGGATATTAGAGGGAGAGGGTTACCTCCCTTTAGCGATATATATGACTTTGATGTATGCCTACGTTCATAAAACGATCATTATGGATCAGTCAGTATCACGGTTTTTTCTTTCATATTTGAAAAAAAGCGATTCAAGGTAAGCCGTGCCATTCAGCGAGAGATTTGACAAATAGTGTTATAAAAGACAACACGTTTATGGCCAAAACGTAGGGCACAATATAGGTACAATCTGTGAGGCTCATTTCTGATATTGCTGGAATTGTGCTAAAAAGCTGCATAAAACCACACTCACTTACTCACTCGACATTTCATAGTAAACGTGAGGAATGCACCATCTTCATCTGTTGGTAAATGACCTTGAGATGCAGCAACTGACCTTGATAATAGATCAGGAGGGAGGAGATATGCTACACCCGTGTAATATTGAGAATATGAATATTTTTTTTGTAGTGAAGATTGAGCACACAGTGTATAAAATATGTCCCTAAAACAGTCATGATCCCTAAGTTTCATAATAGATTTAAGCAATGACAGAGGCGCATGTGGATAGCGTGTCATGATATCCATCAGACCACGGGGATCGAACTACCGACCTCTGGCACTCCGGGCAGACACGGAACTGCAGAGGCGTTATTGGCCCATTGGACATCAAACCATGGGAGATTGATCGTTTGCGGATATAGACAGCTTTACAGAGCTATATGGCAACATCCATTATAGAATCACTCCTAGGGCGTAGAAATACGCCGCGTGGATATAGATGAAGGCAACGACAAGAAAACGTTAATTGATGTTTTGTGTCAATCTTTACAATAGACCGATAATGGATGAACATAGAAGAGGAGAAAAAGTAACAGCGAACCTTCGCATAGTTCTTGTCTGACAAACACATCAACATGTTGTTGTTTTCAAAAATTGTTGTACATTGAGGAGAAAAAGAAACTACACCTCTCAGCTATTTTTATCATGTGGAAAAAACATGTTATGTTCGCCAAACTATAACTAGACTGGAGAACAACGAGCACTCAAAATAAAACCCCTTGTATTTTTATAATTATGTAAACTTTGTTAATTTTTGAATATCAATCAATCAATCAGTTAATTGCATGAAGGCCAGAGGTCCATATACAAAATAAATATGTATGATATGTACAACATATACAACATGCGGCACACACGTTACACTGAATCTCTTCTCAATATAAGCACGTGATAAATAAATAGAGCTACCTTATATTGTAATAGGGATACTTTACATGAAAGTATTGATTACAGTTTTGTAGCATTAATATTTGATTGTAACCATTGTGGAAAATACAGTTGCCTTAAATCATTATATGCAGGACAAAGAAATAGGAAGTGTAATTCATTCTCTACAGTATTACAAAATGGACAGAACCTTTGTGATTTTATAATCGATTAATATCAGGAACCTGCCGATAGTTTTTTTGAACATCCAGTCCTGAAGAAATCAGTGTTTGCTTTTATCGACATAAATCCTCAATATCTCAAAGATACCCTAGATTTTAACTACTTTTTTCATAAAAGTTAACAGCTACACACGTCTATTTGCAAAATTAAAAACGAAAAAAAAGTTATGAAAGAGCTGCTCAGAGTGCATGCCTCAAAACATGATAAGTAACAAGTAGCAGTCTTTTGGAGGGCATAAAATAGTTCATTCCCGTTGTATCTGTGAGGTTTGATTTGATTTGGTTTGTTGTTCAACCCAGCAACATTCCAGATATATGGTGGCGATCTGTAAACAATTTGTGAGGCCTCATTCAGCTGGAAAGCATTTATGAAGATATTGGTCTCGAAGAAATTGAGAGGTATTAAACAACTGCCATTCAGTAGCACTTTGGCCACCGTACAAATTCGTCACGCACTGGTTTCATTCCCCACATCAATGTAATGTTTTAATGTCATTCTTGCTGTTTCCCGTAAATGAATGAATGCATGAATGAATGAATGAATGAATGAATGAATGAATGAATGAATGAATGAATGAATGAATGAACTGTTCAGCAATAATTTCTTCGGCCGTATGACGATTCAAGATGTTATTTAACTGTTTACAGTGTTGCAAGTCGATGGTCAAGCAGTCCATTATTCTGAAAGGAAGGCATCGAGGCAGCCAGTCCCTTACAATTCGGTTTATCATGCTGAGACTGGTTCCAGTCATGTTTCACCCAGCCATGAACCTACGGTCATCACACTTCCTCCAAAAGACCTAAAGCCAACAAGACAGCCTGTGCCATACGCCAGCATCCCCAAGCCCACAGCATCTAATGCCTTCCCTGACAAGAAGCCGCACCGTCAGCCGGTGCCAAGAACTGACACAAAGTGGAAACAGCAACAGAGAGAAGCCTCTGTTCAAGGAAATAAAACATACGCTACAAGCGGGGGATCTGAGGCACATTTCAACGAAAGGAGACCATCACGGCAACCTGTGCCTTCACATGACGGTATAACCAATGCACCAGAGACCAAAACACAATTTGTACAAGCCCACAACCAAATCTCCAGAACACCCCAATCCCCATCAGGGCCATTGTGGAAAAAACCAGAGACGCCATGGCAACCAGGAATTGGGGGATATCAACCATACTATTTAAACTACAATTCCAGACCAAATAACCATCTGAACTGGAATCCAGTTATGGACTTGGCTCGTCAGTATCAGGTGAAACAGCAGAGGTACAGCCCATACGGAACTGGAAACCCACTGAGCAATTGGGTTCTCTCTGGAAGACGTGCCAGCACCAGATACAACATGTATGGACAGATGGTTCCAACAGACAGCTACAAGGGAAATACCTACGATGGACATCTAAGCCCATTCGGCGTTGTTGATTACAACGGTCCTTGTAGAAGGCTATGCACGATGTACTGTTCTCTGGGTTACGACGTAGATGTAAAGGGATGCCCTGCTTGCAGCTGCCAGCGCCAAGGTAAATTAACTTAATGATGGTTTCAGAGAAGTGAAAATTAATGACACTGTACTCATGGAACGAATAAGGGAACACCTGAAAATACAAGTGTTCCTTTATTCTTTTCCAGGTTTCTTCACAAGTTTTGTATTGCATTGTTGGTAAAAAAATGTAAAAGAATAAAGGAATAATTGTACTTCCAGGTGCTCCCTTATTCCTTTCCAAGAGTACATTTAATAGAAGCAGAGAATAATAGAATTAAGGATGATCTTTTCCGAGTGAATTATTGGGGTTGATCCGGAGCCTCTGGACAACATTTTTTTACGAATGACATATACTCTGAGTAGGTTTTTCTGTAATTGCTCATTGTCATTTTAACAGAGAAAATAAACACCTAATGTATTGACGGTCGACAGCAACCGTTACTGAAGGCAGTCTGTTGTTAAAATAGCGCAATGTAATCAGTTTGTGAAGTTATGAACATAGGATGACTTCAAATTTTGCACTGTGATGTCATATGGGTTCTTCGGACTTGTCAGTAATAACTAAAATGCATGTGTGAAATCGAAACATTATCAATGCATACTTTTTCTATTTAGTTTGTGAATATCTTCTGTATTCCAGTGGATATTAGCCCCAGTAAAGTAAAGTCGATAAGTCATGAAATGTTGACTCATAGTAATAGCATTGTTAAAAGGTTCCGGACGTCAGAGGTACTTTGGGTAAGTAAAATCCGTCTGCAAATCGTGCGCTTTGCAATTGTATGCCATGTTTTTGTCCTAAAACTTGTGCCATTCTGATCAAAATAAACCTAAAGAATTAACCTATTGACACTTCTTTACCAATCCACGGTGTTCCGAAAGCGGACATGATGTTGAAAAATTTGCTGAAAAATCTTTGCTATTGTACAAATATTTAAATATTAGCATTAAATATTACGCAAATTCATCATAAATGAATCACTATCAAATAGAGACGATACCAGGTTTGTGTTAGAAATTATGATTTAACGCTGTAATGTGAAATTGTACAGCACCAACAGAATGGCCATAAATTGCTTTGTAACTGAAATGCTTTAATCAAGTGGGCTTACATGGTGATATTCAACCACTGTTTCTGTATGTTTAACAAAGTGCTTGGTCTCAATCGTTTCTGTACAGGCCTTTTAGCTCTGTGTGCTCCAAGGGGACATGGAGTAGCGAATACACTACTGCTCACATGTAATTACCTCTTTAATGCAGAACAGCTTCACAAGAGTACTTTTCTGTTTCTTGAGCATTCTGTGGCACGTTTGCAGAATTACCGCGATGTTTTCGAAAACTTACCGCATTAATGTTGCCGAATTACCTCGGGACCAATTTCCGTCGCTTTTATGTTGATCACAGGTAGTTCTGTGAAAGTACCGCTAATCATTTTCAGACTTACTGCGGTATTTTATACCATTACAAAATGCAAAAATCCGAGGTAATTGTTGCAAAACCTTCGCGGTAATTCTGCAAACGTACCACAAATATGCAAACGTTTAGGCGGTACTTTGGAAGCTACGTTGCAAAGTCACCGCGGTATCTTTGCAGATCTAGACATATATAACGCAAAATTAAATCACGGAAAGAGAGGTAAATACTTTTGAGCAGAAGAGTATATGCAACGTTGATGTTTTTGTATCGTCTTCATCCAGCAGCATCGTTTACCTGTCCTCGTCGCTATTGTAACCAACATTGTCCCTACGGGTCGGAGAAGGATCTATTCGGCTGCAGCACATGCACATGCAAGTCCTTTAATGGTAGGATTGGCATCCCCCATATCAACCCATTCAACCCAATACAGCTATAAGAGGCGCTCAATCCATTCAACCCAATACAGCTATAAGGGGCGGTGGGGTAGCCTTGTGGTTAAAGTGTTCACCCGTCACGCTGAAGACCCGGGTTCGATTCCCTACGTGGACACAATGTGTGAAGCCCATTTCTTGGGTCCCCCGCCGTGATATTGCTGCAATATTGCTGAAGCGGCGTAAAACTAACCTCACTCACTCAATACAGCCATACAATGTGAGGGAGTGAATTTGTAGTCACATTGGCAATATTTCAGCCATATCGTGACTAAAACAATATTATACATTGATAGTAAAGAAATAGATATTTAGAAAGTCCGTCGACAGTATAAACAACTTGAATATCACAGATATAAATGTAAAACTTCCACGTTAATCTAAAAGTGTGCTACTATTAAAGGCAATACATTTAAAAACGGACTATAGATAACCAACAAGCAAAGGTATATCAACTTACTTGAGACCATGGGGACTTACAGTACTTTTTGCTGCCTGCATGATCCCTAGCTGGATTTACAACACCCTTTTGACAAATTTAGCCAATGATTAAAAGAACACGTAATCCACGACTAAACGCCACTCATAGAAAGCGAGGGGCAAAAGAAACGTCCCCGATCATTTTTGTATCATAAAATGATACAAACACGTGCAATTCAATGTTGAAATGTTTGATATAATTTTTGAACATATTATGCAGACTGTCATTACAGAACAATTGAAACAATTTGCTGTAAGTAGAGTTTTGTGACGTTTTTCACAGGAGGTTCAAATGTCCGGTTTTCGATCATGACAGCACATGCACATCAATACTGACAGAGTGTCTTTGAGTGTCCAACTCCTCAGTAGCGAGTGTGTCCACCTCTTGCAGCGATACATGCTGCCACACGACGTCGTGCAGAGTGCACAAGACGTCTGATCACGTGATGTGGGATGCGACGCCATTCTTCCCGTAGAGCTTGAGCCAAAGCGTTTCTTGTCTGTGGGGATGTTGACGTTGCTTAACCTGACGGCCGAGATGATCCCATAGGTGCTCAATAGGTGATAAATCGGGGATCTTGCTGGCCAAGGAATGACGTTTACGTTGTTGTTGTTCAGGAAGTTCCGGATAACAACAGCAGTGTGGGGAGTAGCGTTATCCTGCTGAAACAACACGCCTCGATTCTGCTGGAGGAAGGGTAACACGACAGGTCGTAAAACAACATCAATGTATCGACGGGCATTCAGGTTTCCCTCTATCACCAACAAGTCAGTCTTCCTCTCGCCACAAATTTCCCCCACACCATCACACTATCGCCGCCAAACGTCTCAACTTCCTGAACGCAACAACGTGCTGTGCGTTCGTTCCGACGTCTGTAGACTCGTACCCGACCATCAGCTTTGTTCAACTGGAAGCGGCTCTCGTCACTGAAGAGTACCCGGCGCCAGTTCCGCGGCTGCCACTGCCGAACTCTACGTGCCCAAGCCAATCGACGACGTCGATGTTCACGCGTTAACGTCACGCCCCGGAATGGTCTGTAGGCTCTGATACCGAATCGGCGGAGTCGTCTGGATATGGTCCTTCTACTGACTGGATGGGTAAGGCTGGTTGTTGCTGATGACGTCACAGTCAGGAATCTGTTGCGCAAGTGAAGCACCCGTAAATGGCGGTCTTCCTGAGGGGTGGTTACGGGTGGTCTCCTGTCCTAGGCCTGTCTGCAGTCCGACCTGTTGTTCTGAAGCGTGTCATCAGTCTGGTGATGGTTTTCTTGCTGCAACCCATGATTCTTGCAACGTGACTGTGAGAAGCATCCAGCTGCAACATCCCAATAGCTCGTTCTCTCTGTTCTGCCATGAGTCGAGGCATGTTCTTTGTGTCCAACGTATTGAAGTGATGAATTCGAACAGTCGAGCATAATTTTTATACTGTACTTTCATACGGGTATGTTTCCACAGAAGCATGCAAAACGTGAATAAAAGCAATTTTCATGCTTACAAAAAACTCCACGTGGATTTCCTTTCTGTGAGACGTGGGGATGCGTTCGGGAGATGTGTTCCTAAATAAATTTCCGTCATAACGAAAACAGAAGAAATGTTTTTACAATTTTACTTTGGGGACGTTTCTTTTTTGCCCCTCAGTTTAGAAAGCAAAATCCAACCCCAATGTCTGGAACTCGGTTGTGTCGAACTCATTTCTCGGTCTCTGCCAATTTCCTTACATTTATCAATATTTTTACACTGATGTCTCGAACTAGATGTGTCGAATTTCCGGTTGTATCGAACTCATTTTAGGGTCCCAAAAAGCCCCAATAAGTACAAATTTACCGTTTTGTCTCCAACTGTCAAAGTTGGTTCTTGCAACTGAAAATTTCATTCGCGCAACAATCAAAACCCATGGTCATGATTTCATTATTTAATCGCCCGCATGATTTGAAACTGAGTTTCAGTCTGTGTTTATATTTCCAGTGATACATATGTAGGACTCAGTGCTGTGGCGGGTCTCTAATCTATGGCCTGTTTCCTAATCCATGGCAGGTTTGATTTTTCGATTGATATATGCCGTCATCGCGTAATTACGTCATTACGCGATGACGTCATAATCGCTAACCGTTCCCGGCGTTATTCGACACTAGCCGTTCGTGGCGATAGTAAATCTGAGGAAAATCTTCAAAGGTAAGAAGATGGAAACAATAGAAAATGATGTTTTTGTAATTGCGAAACTACCTACAAAGTAAGAAGAAACCCGTATCCAAAGATCCCCAAAAATACGTGAGATTACAAAACTGAAAACGCTCAGTAGCATTTGTGACTCTTTCTGTAAAGCGCCTTAGTGAGTCTTAGTTCTTAAATCATATAGGGCGCTATGCAAATTTTGTATCGTATTTTGTTATTATTATTATGAGTACAAGAGTTCTATATTAAAGCAGGAATATCTTTGAGGAACCAGGTATCGGTGTTTCAATAGGCTTGAAACTGAGAGGAGCGTTGAGTTACGAGTTCTTCAGTCACAATACATGATTACATCGTTAAAGTTACTCTAGATTTGTGCGTCAATCTGACTACGTAACCTCCACACATATTCCAAATATCTGTGATCGATCAGTCCTTTTAAGCAATCAATAACTGTATAAAAAGACACAACCAAGGCGTGTTACCCTAAGCAGTGTCTTCCAGAAATGTTCTCCATTATCAATCACGAGAATGACAAGGTCAAGTCATGTCTGTGGTTTATTTCGATCAGTGTATGTTTGTCTGTTTGTGTCTGCTGTAAGAGATGACGCCGCCATTAATCAGATGTTCAACTTGCAGTCATGATAAAGTCATTCGGAGAGACGCGTCAATATATTCATGGCTTCCAGCTATATGGCGTGATGATTTAAGAGGCCATAGTGTTCAGAATCTGTATATTTGTTATAGTTTTTTTGTCCTTTGCACTGTGTGTGTAGCGTGCTCGTTTGTTTGTTCTGTTTTCTTTACTGTTTGAGTGCGTGTTTGTCGGTGCAAATATATTTGTATTTGTGTGTGTTTGTTTGACTTTGCGTGTATGTGCGTGCATATGTGCATTTGTGCGTTTATATGTATTTTGTGTGTATGTGTGTGTGTGTGTTTAACTCAAGTCCCATCATTATTCCTTCTATATAGGGGCGGCCCTTGATGATCGTGCATCAAACCTATCCACATAGTCACGCGAATCACACACCCTCAGGCCGTCATTCATGATCATTAATACGACATAGTAACAAAGCGTAACGCAGAAAGACAAATCAAAGTTGCAATTCATGACCGAATTGGTGAAATCGGCGTGTTAGGTATGCATACGTCATCATTCGCGTCTTTCCTTTAGTGCAAGATGTGCAAGAAAAGGTTAGGTGAGGTGAGGTGAGGTAGGTGAGGTGAGGTGAAATTGGGTTTATCGTCGTGCTTGAGAATATTTCGCTCATATGACGACGTGCATGCGTGTGTATGTGTATGTGCGGCTGCTTGTACTAGCCCAGACTGAAGTTGGTTTTATAGTGCTAGCCCACTGAGATACCATGCCGCAGTGAAGCATGAATACCCCACTCAGACACATTATACTGACTCCGAGCCGACGAGTCCTTGTTGTACCCATTAATGCCGAGCGCCAGGTAGGGACCAACAAGTACCATATTTTAACGTCTTTTGGTATGACGCGGTCGGGTATCGAACCCACGACCTTCCGCTCTCCGGGCGGACGCTCTAACTACTACACCACGGAGGCGGTTGATGAAGCTTATGAACGGAAATACAACCAACCAACCAGAATGCGGATAACTTCAAGTTCTTCGGTCAAATAATATAGTCATATTTATAAGTTTTACATGCATTATGTATAAGTAGCTTCAAAGATAAATCTTCAGTAACCCATGCTTGTCGTAAGAAGATCGGGAGGTCAGGCTCGCTGACTTGGTTAACACATGTCATCGTAACCCAACTGAGCAGACTGATGCTCATGCTGTTGATCACTGGATTGTCCGGTCCAGACTCGATTATTTGCAGACCGCCGCCATACAGCTGGAATATTGCTGAGTGCGGCGTAAAATTGAACTCACTCACACTCGTAAATATGTGCAGCAAAACGTAAATTTAATGATTCGAAAGGTGGAATGTTTACGAAAACCATACACATCTATGAATGTTATAATTTTTTAAAATTCTAAACAAAATCATAAAGATTGGTTACTGAAGATCAGTTCTATAGGCTGCTTTTGATGTTTACCTATCTTCAGGGAGCTAAGTTCAGACGTTCGCAGGCACCTTGACGTAAAAGTCAACTGAATGGATCGGGCAGTCTGACTTCCTGGGTAGATCGATGCTCATGATGTCAATCACTGGAGCTTCTGGTTCAACCTTTTACAGACTGCCGTCACATAGCTCGAATATTGCGTTATGTACGGCGTTTACAAAACATATATTTAGTACACGAAAAACATGGAATTATGAAAGTATGGATAGCTTTGGTTCCTTGTCCGTAAACCAGAAATGACAGCAAGCAAATGTACATTTTGTAACATAACTAAAAACTCACTTTGCTCGAATTTCAGGGATGCTGATTGATTACATTCGGAGCCTTCCCTATGACCCAGGAATCCTTCTCTCCGAGTAAAATGCCGATCTCCTCCGAGCGTGCATACCATTGGATCACACAAAATGTAGACATCCTGCTTTTTATATGCTAATAAATGGCTTATTAGTTGTATATGTGTGTCTGTTGTATGTCTCGTCAAGACATTAAATATTCTCTGAGGGCCTCAACTAATGGAGAGAGTGAGTGAGTTAGTTGGTTTCACGCCGCTTTTATCAATATTCCCGCAACATCACGATGGTTGACACCAAAAATGGGCTTTACGCATTGTACCCATGTGGGGAGTCGAACCCGGGTCTTCGGCGTGACAAGCGAACGCTCTTACCACTAGGCTACCCCTTCGCCCCTACATAATCAAGTCTCGACCAGACAATCAAGTGATTGATATAGTGAGTGAAAGACTGAACCCTGTGATCTAACTCTTCCCTTGCTGTGATGTACCTTACAGTGTACCTAACCCTATCCCTGGTTATATTCTAGTTCAGAACTTACATAATCAAGTCTGGACCAGACAATCAAGTGATTGATATAGTGAGTGAAAGACTGCATCCTGTGATCTAACTCTACCCTTACTGTGATCTACCTGACAGTGTACCTAACCCTAACCCTGGTTATATTCTAGTTCAGAACTTGCATAATCAAGTCTGGACCAGACAATCAAGTGATTGATATAGTGAGTGAAAGACTGCATCCTGTGATCTAACTCTACCCTTACTGTGATCTGCCTGACAGTGTACCTAACCCTAACCCTGGTTATATTCTAGTTCAGAACTTGCATAATCAAGTCTGGACCAGACAATCAAGTGATTGATATAGTGAGTGAAAGACTGCATCCTGTGATCTAACTCTACCCTTACTGTGATCTACCTGACAGTGTACCTAACCCTAACCCTGGTTATATTCTAGTTCAGAACTTGCATAATCAAGTCTGGACCAGACAATCAAGTGATTGATATAGTGAGTGAAAGACTGCATCCTGTGATCTAACTCTACCCTTGCTGTGATCTACCTGACAGTGTACCTAACCCTAACCCTGGTTATATTCTAGTTCAGAACTTGCATAATCAAGTCTGGACCAGACAATCAAGTGATTGATATAGTGAGTGAAAGACTGCATCCTGTGATCTAACTCTACCCTTACTGTGATCTACCTGACAGTGTACCTAACCCTAACCCTGGTTATATTCTAGTTCAGAACTTGCATAATCAAGTCTGGACCAGACAATCAAGTGATTGATATAGTGAGTGAAAGACTGCATCCTGTGATCTAACTCTACCCTTACTGTGATCTACCTGACAGTGTACCTAACCCTAACCCTGGTTATATTCTAGTTCAGAACTTGCATAATCAAGTCTGGACCAGACAATCAAGTGATTGATATAGTGAGTGAAAGACTGCATCCTGTGATCTAACTCTACCCTTGCTGTGATCTACCTGACAGTGTACCTAACCCTAACCCTGGTTATATTCTAGTACGGACCTTACATAATCAAGTGGGTGAGTGAGTATACTTTTACGCTACTTTTAGCAATGCTCCAGCAATATCACAGCGGGAGACACCAGAAATGGGCTTTACACATTGTACCCATGTGGGGAATCGAACCCGGGTCTGGAGTGACGAGCGAATGCTTTAACCACTAGGCTGGCCATGGGTGGCCATATTAGTATTGGATAGTGGTTCTTAACCACATAGAAGTCATTTTAGAGAGAGAGATTTCTTGTGAAGATGGAAAGGGATTTGTTACTTCTTCGTCTTCTTTTTCTTCTGGTGTGTGTGTGTGTGTGTGCATGCGTGTGTGTGTATGTGTGTGTGCGTGCGTGCGTGCATGCGTGTGTGTGCGTGCGTGCGTGCGTGCGTGCGTGTGTGTGTGTGTGTGTGTGTGTGTGTGTGTGTGTGTGTGTGTGTGTGTGTGTGTGTGTGTGTGTGCCTTGAGGTTAAAACGTCCGCTCGTCGAGCTAAAGACCCGGGTTCGATTCTCCACATGGGTACAATGTGTGAAGCCCATTTCTGGTGTCTCCCGCCGTGATATTGCTGGAATATTGCTAAAAGCGGCGTAAAACCAAACTCAGTCAGTCAGTCATCTTCTATGAGGAGGATGATTACCATGATGATGGAGACACTCAGATACAATTATCTCCACGAGTCATCTAGCATAGGACCGGCAATAACAGATAAGTTTCCATTTTTAACTTTCTGAAAGTCACTCCATCCTGATCAGGATGTCCCCAGAAACTAATTGACGTCGAATGCTGTGTACAACAAGGCCTTCTGGATGTGAGGTGAGGTGAGGTGGATGTGAGGTGAAATTGGGTTTAACGTCGTGCTTGAGAATATTTCGCTCATATGACGACGTGCATGCGTGTGTATGTGTATGTGCGGCTGCTTGTACTAGCCCAGACTGAAGTTGGTTTTATAGTGCTATCCCACTGAGATATCATGCCGCAGTGAAGCATGAATACCCCACTCAGACAAATTATACTGACTCCAAACCGACCAGTCCTTGTTGAACCCATTAATGCCGAGCACCAGGTAGGGACCAACAAGTACCATATTTTAACGTCTTTTGGTATGACGCGGTCGGGGATCGAACCCGCGACCTCCGCTCTCCGGGCGGACGCTCTAACCACTACACCACGGAGGCGGTCGCCTTCTGGATGTGAAAACAAAAAGACTTTGGCATTGCAAAAGAGTCGACGATACACGATCACACGAAAGGACCATATGATACCACTGGACGATTTTGCAGCGATTTCCTACGGTCATGAAATGGGTTATGTATGTTTAAACCTGAGGGGTGGTTTTTGATCAGTTTTATTCTGGACATTTTCTCCATTTAAAAGTGAGTGAGTGAGTTTTTCACTGCTGTTAGCAATATTCCAGTAATATCACAGTGAGTGACAAGAGAAATGAATTCACACATTGTACCCATGTGGGGAATCGAACCCGGATCATCGGCGTGAACGCTTTAACCACTAGGCTACCCCACCGCCCCTTATTTCGACAAACGGAAACTGATATTTCTGATGAAATCGAACCTGGTCTTCGGCGGGAAGAGCGAACGCTTTAACCACTAGGCTACCCCGCCTCCCATTCTATTTTTAGAACAAATCATCCCCGTTTGTACCCGATGTCTCTGACTACATCTCACAGTGCATTCAATACGTTGATGATTGATCTGCAATAAATGTCACAAGTAACCTTGTGAATTGCTTGATGCCCTTGGCAAGGTCGTGCTGCTTGATGGATTTAGATACGCGACCTTAATTACGAGGACACGCGCGTATATACACGTTGCTAATATATCTACCTACGTCGGTTATATCAGTATCAGCGGGAGGTGGTGTAGCGTAGTGGTTCAAGCGTCAGCTCGTCACGCCAAACAGCCAGGTTCGTTTCCCACCCAATCCCGTTTGTCGCCTCTTACGACAAGCATGGGTTACTGAAGATCAAGTCTAGCCAGGTAATATAGGCATGCAGATGGCAATAAGGTTAGGGTGGGTGGAGGAGTGAGTGAGTTCAATTTTACGCCGCTTTTAGCAATATTCCAGCAATATCACGGCGGGGGACACCAGAAATGGACATAACACATTGTGCCCATGTGTGGAATCGAACCCGGGTTTTTCGGCGTGACGAGCGAACGCCTTAACCACTAGGCTACCCAACCGCCCCGGTGGGTTGAGGAAGTCTCAGATGGACTACTCCCAGCAGGATCGACACGTAGGCAGTATTTCGTTGAGTGAGTGAGTGAGTTTAGTTTTACGCCATTTTTTTAGCAATATTCCTGCAATATCATTTCGGGGAACACCAGAAATGGGCTTCAAACATTCTACCCAGATGGGGAATCGAACCCGGGTCTTCAGCGTGAACGCTTTAACCACTAGGCTACCTCGCTGCCTCTCATTTCGGTAAGGGAGAATTGGTATTTACTGATGAATTCAATTTATGTTTACGTTTTACATAGTTACATTGTCGCGACGGCATGGAGTGAGGTACCATCCGACAAAAGCCAACGACAGGGATGGATCTGGCAACGTAATCGTTGCAGGTCACATCACACACTACAACAGGGCTGACCTCAGGTCAACGTTGAGATCATCAAATACTATACTCTTAAAAAACTGGGAGAGATATCGGAGTCAATCAATATTGATGTGATAACAATGAATGTCTTGAGAGTGCATCACCACTTGCATTTCCATATAAGGATGGTTGTTTGTACAGTAATCACTCTTGAAATATGATTGGTGTAAAAATTTGCTTTTGTGCGATTTTCGTTTTCAAACAAAAATAAACGGCTAGAAACAAACACTAACAACTGTGATAAATTGTAATTGTCAAAGTTAATGGTCTACAGTGATTTACCTAATGCACCCCACGCACGTGTATGGGGCTACTGCCTTGTGCATTTGCATCTCATGCCTTGTGTTGAGGAGTGGTAATAGAAAGAAATAGTGGTGCGTTCATACTATGTCTGTCTTTGTAAGGCTGTTTACGCTTATACTTCCTATCGAAATTTAAAGTTCAGGTTTTAAAGTAAAGGAGTATATGTCATGAATACACAATGCCAATTAGAAAGTGGTCCAATATAACACAGGTTATATTTAGGATTACACTTTCTCAGTAAAGTACAGATTCTAGCATTCCCATTCGGGATTCGAACCCACACCGCCAGTGTCAGGCACGTATTCGCCATCACATTACTGTGGAAGCAGCGATGGCGGAGTAGCTTATGGCGGTTAAAGTGTTCCCTCGTCACGCCGAAGATCCGAGTTCGATTCCCCACATGGGTACAGTGTGTGAAGTCCATTTTTCGTGTCCCCCGCCGTGATAATGCCGGAATTTTGCTAAAAGCGGCTTAAAATCATATATTCACCCAAACTCATATGCACTCATTTCCAAAGTGTTTTTTCCATAAAATAACATTAATTTGTTTTTAAAATGTTAATGATACATTTATAAATGTATTAACATGATTTCAATACCATCACAAAATTCTGATTCATATTACAGACCTTTTTGTGTGATTCTTCAAATATCGCTTTAAATATCATCACATCTGATGAAATGACAAGCTGTCGTATATCTCGGTATAAAGGCGTAGGTTTCAATTAT